AGGACTGGTGGTCAACCAAGGGAGTGACTGGGGTGCGAACCAGAGGCAGAGGCCAGGGGTCAACCAGAGGGAGGGACTGGGGGGTGAACCAGTGGGAGGGCCCCAGGGGGTGAACCCGAGGTAGGGATTGGGGTGAACCAAAGGAGGGACCAGGGGTGAGCCAGAGGGTGGGACTGGGAGTGAACCAGAGGGAGGGCCATGGTGAACCAGAGGGAGGGACCAGGGGTAAGACACAGGTAAGGACCAGGAGAGAACCACAGGTAGGGACCAGGGGTGTCCCAGAGGGAGCCTGTCAGCTGGGATGCCCACAGTGGTCCACCATCCCAGGCCTCCGCCGAGGTCAGGCCATATGCAGCCCCCAGCAGTAAAATGCAGAACTAGATGGAGAAGAGGAATCAGAGGGTCCCGAGCTAGAGGAAGAGAACGAGGGGCACAGAAGGCCCAGGAGGGCAAGAGGAGCCCACACCCTGATCCCAGCACACCACCTCAGCCCTGGGGACAGCCGCTGGCCACTGGCTGGAAAACATCTTCAATCAAAGTCTCTGGCAGATTCCCAGCCCAAGGAGAAGGACTGGGGGCTGCAGTGGCAGATGCTGAGGGCAGGGGGCCGAGGCCGTGGGCACAAAAGGCCCAACGCACAGGCCCAGGCCACAGTGTCCGCCCCCCTCCTCAGAGCCTGCTTCCTGATGCAGAGAGGTGGGTGGGTACCTGGGGGGGGGGCAGAGACCCCACCCATCTCTGATGATATGGAAATCTGCCGGGTCTGAGCCAGCTGACCCACCCGCTGTAGAGGGCACGTCCTTCCAAGTGCTGATTAAACAGTCCCCCAGGCTGCCCCCACCTGCCTGGGCACGACCCAGCCAGTTCCTGGCTCCCAGGCCAGCGACAGCAAGTCAGGGTTTCTGGTGCTGGGGATGGAACCCAGGGTGCTCTCCCACTAAGCCACATCCATGGTCCTTTTATTTTTTATTTTGAGAAAGGGTCTTGCTGAGCTTCCCAGGCTGGTCTTAAATCTGGGTTACACTTGTGAGCTGGGGCACTGGCTTGACAGCCTTTGAAATAGCTAAAAACCACCTGACGTCTGGAAATACAGAAGCACATTTCTGCCTCACGTGGGGCAAAGAAAACCTGGGAATGGAGACAGCAGGCATCTGGCCCAGAGGGTGGCCAGAGTAGGCCCCAAACACCAGCCAGCCCCAGCCACCCAGCCCTGCTGCAGGGAAGCCGTCAGACAGCGAGGCCAGGCCCARTCTGTGCAGCTAGGAGAGGAAGGGACAGAGGACCGTCACCCACGCTCCCGCATGGGGCAGAGGCGGAAGAAGAGGGAAGGGCGGCCAGCAGGTGGGCTCCCGTCACCACAGCCCAGGAAGCCACTGTCACTTGTGCAATGCCACACAGGTCCCAGAGCCAGCCATCTGCTGAAGTGACAGCAGTGTCCTCACTGGGCACTTCTGGGATTAGGCTATTCCTGACAAAGAAATGAACAGAAATGCTAAACACAGCCCAACTGTGGGGGGACCTACTCAGGAATTCTAACCCCACGGAAGGAACAGGGCCACGACCCGTGAGCAGGCCCTTCTCTTTACGGCTAGAAAAGGGACCTGATGAAGCTCAAGCGAAAGAGGAAAGAACACGACAGAGGGTTGGCAGAAAGGAGGGCCACAGGAAGTCAGCGTCCTCGGCCAGGAAGGGACAGCTAGCCTAGCAGCACCCAAAGGCCCAGCGACCAACACCAAGGAATCGAGAGGGTCCTGAGCAGTTCTCGGAACAGGGAACCGGAATTCTATCAGACGTGGGCAAGTTTCTCAGGGAGAGATTCACCAAAACCGATTCCCAAAGAAAGGGAAAGTTCAACCCACGATAAAATTGATCCATCAGCAAAAATAAGAGCCCTCAAATAAAAGCAAAAACCAGAGCCCCGGGCCACACGTCATCACTAGCAGTCCCACCTGAGGCCAGGTCGGGAGTGCCTGGGCTCTGAACATAGGCTATCCTGAGTCTAGGTATGTGCCACCTGCCCCATCCCAAACCTGGCCCCTAGGGCTGCGCTCCTTGACCATGGAGAACCATGGGCCACCCCTCAGAGCTGTGCCGTGTGCACTGGGCCCTCACCCCTCTCCACAGGCCGCACCAGCACCTCACCTTTGAGACCTCAAGGAAGGCAGGAGCCAGCAGAAGCAGATCCCACTGCCCTGCCTCCCTGCAAACTGGCTTCTAGCTAGCACCAGGCACTGAAGGCTGTAGGAGTCCAGAGAATGGGCTATTTCCTGCTCCCAAAGCCCACCAAAGCTGGCACTGGGCAACTCGTCATGCTGCAAGGGTCAGGGGGGGCGGGAGGAGCCCTACAGGACCCCAGCCTGGGCCCTAAGTAGGTCTGTGTCCTCCTCCCTGCATCCAGCAGTCTGGGTCTCAGCAGGCTGGGCCATGCTGAGACCCAGAAGTAGGTCTGTGTCCTCCTCCCTGCATCCAGCAGTCTGGGTCTCAGCAGGCTGGGCCATGCACTCCACCATTACTAGTGCACACAGCCTTCTTTTCCAGAATGGCCAAGAGGAATGACCACTTGGGGCCTCCTCACTGGGCCTCTCCAGCATCATGAAGCCCAATACAAGGCACTCAGCTGCAGAGATGGCCACAGCTATCCACATGGTTCACAGCCACTCACCCAGGTGGCCATAGCCCACCACATGCCTGGCTTGTGAGCCAAGGCGGGCACGCAGGTCAGTCACCAGGTCGTAGAGTCGCTCCACGGGGAGGGACACGTCATACTTGTACACATAGCCATCCCGGCTCAGTGCCTCCGTTATCCTCTCCCGCAGGGCCCACAGCGCCTAGGGCGAGAGAAGGAGCTGTCAAGACAGGGCTCGGCTGGGCCCCTGTGCCCAGCACAGTTAGCAAGTCCCACATTCCCGGAGGTACAGGCATCGGGACCATGACCCAGGACCAGCCACAGGCTCATCCACAGCAGGACTAAGCACCAAGGGACCCTAGGCTTCGAGATGCCCAGGGTCCTTCCAGAAGGGGAGAGCAGCAGACATAGCTCCCAGGGACAAGCAGCTGGGCAGGGCTGCTGCATGGGGCCAGGGACGCTGGAATCCAGGTGGGGGCAGGGATGGGGCATGAAGGGGTAGGCAGTGCCATAGAGGGACCCAGCTTCAGGTCCAGAGCTGCTGAAGGGACCTGTGGGTGGGGTAGGGATGGGAGGGGTGGAGCACTGGCGGCTGGAACACAGAAGCTGAGGTGGAGCAGGCAGAGCACTCCAGGGTGGGCATGGGCCGGGGCTGAGGGAGTGCCCCAGGGTGGGCATGGGCCAGGGGCTGGTGGGGGTGCCAGGGGGAGGGCACTGGCCGGGGCGGGGGGAGCGCCCTGGGTTGGGCATGGACCAGGGGCTGGGGGGCAGCACGGGGTAGGCATGGGCCGGGGTGCCTCCAGCCCCAGGGTGGGGATGGGCCAGAGCTGGGGGGGTACCCTGGGGTGGGCATGGGCTGGGGCTGATGGGGGATAACCCAGGGTGGGCATGGGCGGGGGCTGTGGGGTCGCCCATCCACAAATATCCCTTCAATTCTCAAGAGGCTCTTGTACCCACACCCAGAACCCAGTCACCTGGTGGCCTTCTTGGTTTTCTCCTGCGATTGGAAATCTGGAGCCACCAGGCCAGCAGGCCCTGAACCATCCCCAGACCCTGRCCCCTATCTGTGCTGGCCGGAGAGACCCACAACTTCGGGGCACATATCAAGTGAAGTCTCAGAAAGATCAGAACTTTCAATGCTGAAAAGCCAACAATTCCACCAAACACCCACCCTGAGTCCCACCTCAGCTCTTGACCAACTCCTCTAGCCCCACCTCCGCAAGTCCAGCCCTCAGGAGGGTCCTCATGGACACTATGGCCCTCAGGCTCCTTCACCAGGACACCCTCTGCTCATCCCAGCAGCCACAACATCTGCTCTCCCTGTCTGCCACCCCTACCCCTCGGCTCCAGGCCCTCCACCCCTGGAACATTCTAGAACATGCAGGAACTAGAACTCGCTGCTCCGGCATCACCAGCCTGGCTCGGGCATCAACCTAGACTGGACCAGGATGAGGAGGGCTGGGGGCCAGCGTCCAAGGAAACTGGTGGGCCGGTCATGCAGGCCTGTGGGTGCCTCCATCTGCTGCCCTCCCCAGAGAGGCCCTCTGCTGGCTCAKGCCACCTCAGGCCAGCAGCCTGCAGCCCCTGATCCTCCTCTCTCAGAGCCTGGAAGGCAGGTGCTATGGCCAGGCCCCAGTGAGGGGCACGTCAAGTGGAGCTCATGACCAGAGGGAAAGGAGAGCTCTGGCCACAGCATCTGCCCAGCCAGCCAGGGGTCACAGGGGCACCCAGAGACTCCTGGCGGGTGCAGAGGGACTTGCAGTCCTGGGCCAGCAGGCGGCCAGCCAGCCCCCTGCTCAGAACTCCGGCCTCCCTCTTCCCCAAGGGCAGAATCACCACCTGAGAGGAGGGGTCATGGAGCTGAAGCCAGCAAGGGCAGAGGCCATGGAGAGCAGGCTCACCCCAGGGGGCTCACGGCTAAAGGCAGCCTGTGGGTGCCCTGCAGAGCTTTAGGAGACACAGCAGCTAGCTGCAGAGAGTCTTCATAAGGAGCTCTTCTCACCTGGCCAAAGCCCCATCCCACAGCAGGAGACCCTGACCCGGCCCCAGAGCCCTGACACACCTTCTGTCCCCTGCTGGCCACTCACACAGACAAGGAATCCCCATGGCCAGGGTCCTAGGGAGGGTCCCATGGCTCCCACTGGGCCCTCCTCTTTCTCCTTCCTCTGCCCTCCAGGGTGAAGGTTTCTGGCAAGAGCAGAACCTCTTCCTCCAGACACTCCTTCCCAGGACCCACAGCTCTTCCTGCCTGTCCCTAGGAAGGCAGTCCACCCAGAGCTGCCACTGACCCACTGGCAACTGCACCACCAGCTCCTGGTGCTGGCCACACAGTACTGCTCACCCTGCAGCCGAGGAGTGAGATTTAAACAGTGATGAGGATGACCTAGACACCAAGAGGCTCTGCCACCCACACCCAGAGCCCAGTCACATCTCGGCTCCACCCCTCATCTGCTGAGAGGCCGTTTCCAGGCCCTGCACAGAGACGGCAGGAGGGCATCAGCACCTGGGCTTTGCTCTCGTCTGTGGCCACGGTGCCGTCAGTCACCAGGCCTGAGCCCAGCACCTGCTCCAGAAAGCAGCCCAGCTTCTCGGCGTCATGCCCTGTGCTGGAGCCAGAGGTCTCGACCAGGAGGTAGAAGGCGCTCTCTGGGAGGAAGCAGAGACACAGAATGAGCAGGGCCCAGGCCATCGCYGCCAGTCAGGGCCACTGCAGGCCAAGGCCCAGCCTCCCAGGGACAGCAGCTCTCTGGACAGGCCGAGGTCCCGAGGTTCCAGGCCACAGCCAGAAGCTCCCCCCTCAGCCGCCGTGCTGCAGGAGGACTCACGCTCTTAGCACAGCCCTTCGACTCCCAACCCCAGCACCCCACGGAAGGCTGTTGCAGTGAACACCCCTGAGGGCCTCAACCCTTGGCCACTGCACAGAGGCACGTGCACTCCCTCACAAGGGCCTGCTGTGTGGGCTTCCAGAAGGTTCAGCTAGGTAGGAGTGGTGGCCAGGCCTGTCATCCCAGCAGCTTGGGGGGCTGAGGCAGGAGGGTTGCGAGTTCAAAGCCATCCTCAGCAACTTAGTGACACCCTGTCTCAAAATAAAAAATAAAAAGGGCTGAGGGTGTTGCTCAATGGTTAAGCACCCCTGCTTCAATCCATGGTACAAAAAAAGAAAAACCAAAAGGTTCCATTTTGCATTATTTATGGAGAAAAATTTCCAGTTTGGAGTTTTGTCAAGGCTACTGTGGATTTTGCTCTGCATTTATTGAAATTAATAAATGATAATTTACTGAGTAACATCTCTCCCTTAAAACTACATTAATATTTCTTCCAGAATGACATCACAAGTTCATGCTACTACAGAGAGAACACCAGTGTGAAGGACAGTTGGCTCACACAGGACGTACCACAGCCACATTGCACTCTGTCCAGAGCCCCTTCCCTGCTCAGGGACCCTCTGTCCATCCACAGCCTGTCCCATGGCACAAGAGGAACAGGGTAGGTGCTACCTAGCTACACAGGGCCAGTACCTTGCACTGGGCTGGCCAGGTGGAGATGCTGCTGGACCAGCTGCATGCACTCGGCATCCATGAACTCGAACGCAGACAGGATCTCCCCCAGCATCCTCCTGCAGGTGCTGAAGGTCTGCAGAACCTCTGCAAAGCCAGGGCAGCCTGCAAGGGTCACAGTGCATCAGAGGCATGCAGTGCCAGTCTGAAGAGCCACCCCACAGTCTGGCCAGGTCTCCCTTCAAGTAGCAATGCCATGAACCGGCAAGATTTGACTCCAGGAAACACCTGGCAAGCTGGCCAACATGGACATCTCAAGGTCACTACCAGTGTCCAGATCTAGACAGAAAATGCCTGAGAACCACCATGCAGCATTCAGGACAGTGGTGGAATCCGAGGGACTTGTCCTGAAGAGCCACAAGCCATGCCAAGCAGGGAYACCTGGAAACAGCTGTTTCTGAACATGACCATCCACTCCCAGGAACTCACCCAGGACATGGGGAACCACCATCAGCTGGCCACCAAGTGTGGAGGCAGAAAGGAAGCAAGCGGACAGGAGGGAGGTAACAGCTTCGACCCTATGGAGGCGAGCATGTGCCCAGGCCTCAGGAATGACCCATGCCACCTGGAAGAAGCAAGGGCCAGTCCTCTCAGCAAAGGCTACTCCACCCCTGGCTTCCAGGGACCCCACAAGCAGTCCTTTCTGGGAGCTGCGCACATGAGGATGCAGAGTACCACAACCAAGAACCAGAAGAGACCAGACACTAAAAACAGTCCCCACACACTCAGAGAGAGTGTCAACTGTCCAATCATGAAACATGGCTAAAAAAGTTCTCTGTGCTCAAAGACAGAAACACAGAAGTCGAACACACCTGAGATGTGCAGGAAACTATGGAATGCAACAGCACACGTTTGTAGAAGTGATAAGACTTCTAGCATAAAAACTATAATGATCACATCTGATGCTCAGCCGGGGGCAGAGGCCATCTGGAAAGTCTGACATCACTTTAAAGGCAGCGGAAGCGGCATCAGTGAGCTGGATCAAGCACAGGAGACAAGCAGACACCGAGGGGGGCAGGTCAAGACATGAGGACAGGCTGGGAGGTTCCCTGCTATGCCCACCTCCTCCCCCAAAGGAGAGGACCACACCGGCTGCCCTTCAGGAGAGATGGCCACAAATTTCCAAAGCCACAGGCCTGAGAGGTTCAACAACTGCAGAGGTGAAGAGATAGGCACAACACAGCAAAGACCTCAGAAGACCAACGGAAAAGAGAAGGTGGCCCAGGTAAGAGCACAGAGAGAAGGTCCTGCCTCCCCGCACAACAGAGCCAGCAGCTGGTGAGCGGCACTGTCAGTAGATGGAGGAAGCAAGGGCCAGGCTGCCGCTGGACACCTGTGAGTCTCAGGAGCAAGGGAGTGCAGGCAGTTCAGATGCACCCAAGGCACAGGGCAGCCCAGGAAGTGCCAGGACAGACCTGCAGGACGAGACCCAGGTGGAATGCCTAATGCAGCAGCCAGGGAGCAAGASAGTGCCCACGAGGTCATGGAGACCACCAGGGCGGATTCAGAAAAAGGTGGCAGAATCAGACACAGGACAAGAGCCTCTCTGAGGAGAGGCAAATGGGCCTCTGCGGGAGTCCTAAACTCCCAGCAGGCCACCTGGTAGGTGCTCTCCAGAGGACTGTGGTCCAGCAGGCAACAAAGCCATGCCGGGTAGCTGCCAATCCAGATGGTGTGACAGGAAGTGGGGCCGGCTGAGGCCCGGGGCCCCTGGGGGACACTTGAGGTGTGCTGCTGGTGCACAGAATGGGAAAAGATGGTTTCTTCCCTCACAGGAGGTTGCCAACTTTCCCACGCTGAGAGAGGAAGGCATCCCCTAAGAACCTCACCCCACATGCCACTTCAGCCCCAGCACAGGGGTACAGGAGCCCAGCACCTCCATTCCATCACCAGAGGCAGAGCAAGGCTTCCAGAAGGAAGGCCGGACCCAACCCTGGTGCTCCTTTGTCCCCGTCCTTGCACTAACAACCTGGCCAAGGGATCCAGCCTGAGCAGCATGGGCCAGAACTGCCCCCCCAGCTTGACAAGCAGGGCGAGATGCCTACCAAGAAAAGCYACATTCACAGCCTGGGGCCTGGGCGGGCACAAGATGGACACGGCGGTGATGACCCCCAGGGTGCCCTCYGACCCAATGAACAGCTGCTTCAGGTCATAGCCTGTGTTGTCCTTCCTCAGGGAGGTCAGGCAATCCAGGACAGTGCCATCAGCCAGCACCTAGGGAGGAGAGAGAAGCCAGCCTTCACACACTGACCATCTCCCAACAAGTGACTGGTCTGCAGCTCCATCCTCCTCCCCTTCTCTGGCCATTACACAAGGAGAGCCAATCTTATCTCAGGGCATCCAGAAAAGGTAGCCACTCCTGAGCCCCACTGCCCCAGCCTCAGCCGTTAAAGAGCAAAATGGGCCTAGGTGAGACAAGGATGGACCACCCAAGCCCTGTGAGGAAAGAGTTCTTCCCAAGTGGAGCCAGAGCCCAGCCTCCCATCACCACACAGCAAAGACGCTGACTGCCCAGCTGCAGTGGTCGCCTGAAACAGGACAGGAGGCACAACTATGGGGACAGGGACCTGGGGACCCCAGGGCCCTGTACGGAGAGCTGCCTGAATCCTGCTGGCTGTGCCAGAAGACAGAGTCTCACGGATGCAGTGCCAGAGCTCAGGAGCTAACATGCATCAAATACTACACAGCCCCAGAACACACAGCCAGGAGCCGGTGTCAACCTGGGAGACAGAGCAGAGAGCCTGCCCTCCAGAAGCCACAGGGCACCAGAGGACAGGGCAGGGTCCCTGTGGCTCTGCTGGCTGGCCTGGGCTGACCATTCTTCACGCTCTGACTCCTGGGAGATTGGCCCAGGCAGCATCCCAGGGCTAGTCAGGTAGACTAGGAGGCGGTAACCTGGTGTCATGCAGGAAGCCAGAGTAGGGGCCCCTCAGCTCCATGGTTGTGGCAACCTGCAGGTCCCCAAGGGGCCTGAGCCAAGGACTGTTAAGATGGGCTCTCTGATATGCAATGTGGCTGCCAGCTTCAGGTGGCCTTGTGCACCAGCACCTCTGCCCAGGCCTGAGAAGAGCCCAGGGGGAGCCAGGACACCTGGGGTGGGGTCCCACACTGCTGGCCCCAGCTCACCACTTCCAGGCCCAGCACAGTCCCACGCAGGGAGCCGTATCGCAGAAACCGCAGGCCGCCGGCATTGGTAGCCACATTGCCCCCAATGTGGCAGCTGCCCTTGGCTCCCAAGTCCAGCGGCATGACGAAGTCCYGCTCCTGCACATACCGGCTCAGTCCCTCCAGCACACACCCTGCCTGGCAGGTCAGGATTCCTGCAGAGAGCAAGCAGGGCCACCCTGGGCTCCGGCTCCCAGGCCAGCAAGAGTTCCACTGCTGGGCTAGCCCACAGCTGGCCACTCACAGCCAGGCAGAGCAAGAGACCTCTGGCCCGCCTCTCCCAGACTCCAAGGCCTCTCTGTGACTGCAGAAATGCTGGGGAACTCCCCCTGCCCTCCCTCCCTCTCTCTCTCTCTCTCTCTCTCTCTCTCTCTCTCTCTCTCNCTCTCTCTCTCTCTCTCTCTCTCTCTCTCTCTCTCTCTCTCACACACACACACACACACACACACACACACACACACACACTCAGGGCTGAGAAAACTGTCACATAGCAGCAGTCCTCCCCCCTGGGCAGGTGACTCTGCCCCAGGACCAATAACATCTGGACTGGTGGTGGGAGGAAGCATGCCTCAAGACCCTAGTCACAGGTGTGGCCAGCACAGAGATGACCCTGACAAGTGCCCCAGAGCAGACCCCAGGTCCTGTCACTCCTAGAACCACACCTCACCACCCTCCAGAAAGGCCATCATGCCCAGAAAGTGCCAGGGTCCAAAAGGACYAGAGTGACAAGCTCACATCATACCAGGCATCCAAGCTACCCCGTGGCAGACCCACCCAGAGGGCCCAGGTGGTAGCCGTGCACCACTGCTGGTCCCTCCCCAGTCGGGGACACGTACACACACACTCCCCACCACCGAGGGCCACGTGGCTTACCAGACACACTGTTGAAGCTGGTGACCTGGTTCATGAGGGCAGTGGACAGGATGATTTCATCAAAGACAGGGACRCTGCCCCCCACCAAACCTGTGTTCCCACCCTGTGGGGTCACGGCCAGGTTCCTCTCGTGGCAGTACCTGGGAAAGCACAGGAGGGGCATGGGGCCAGCATCTCTGCTCCCAGTACTGCCCACAAGGGACAGGCTACATGCAAGTATGCCCCCAAAGCTGATCCTCAAGGCCCTCCCTCCACCTGCTGGCCACCCTCCTCCCAGCATGCTGTAGGCAAGCACACAGGCAGAGGGGTCCTGACTGGCCATGTGCCTGCAGGGAAAGACAGTCCTAGGCGCCTGGCCAGCCCCACACTTGCAGGTCTGCAGGCACCCTCAGCCCGCCACTCCAGCCCTGCCTCCCATGTGCTGTCTACTCCCCACCCCTGGGACCTCAGAGTTATCGATGGCTGCTCCTCCACAACCAGGCCTACTTGGCAAAGCCCGAAGCCAGGGCTCCCAGGGGTAGGAAGCAGAGGAACGGGCGCTCCTACCCCCAGGGCCATCTGTCCATGCACATCAAGTCAACCTGAGGGGCAGGAGCATGGGGCCAGTTCAAACTGCAACATGAAAGTCCCCAAGTGACCCTGCCTGACACATGTGACAGCACCTCTGCCACCAGGAGAACACCAGCCCATCTGTTACCTGAGGATGCGGGACACCTCCTCCGACGTCTGGGGTCGCAGCAGCACCTTGCTACAGCCTAGGACAGAGGTGGGTAGCCAGCACAAAGGACAGCAGTTCCCAGGCACCCAGCACATCCCAAAGGGCGTTCCCCACAGGCACTCCCTGGTCCTCGTGGCCCAGGCCCTGGGGGACACACAGGGGCAGGGGCAGGGCCAGTGGGCTGTGGCGTGAGTGCTGGCAGGGGGCTCCCCATGCCCAGCTGCTCTGTCAGCAGTGAAGGCAATCTGAACCCACGAGGGCTTCTCCAGGGCACAGTCCTGGGAGACCTTGGAGACCAGCCTGCTGCTCCTGGAGCTCTCACCTGCTGGCATTAGTTGCGCCAAGTGTCCCACCTGCGGTCACTGCGACGGCTGGCAGTCCCTGCCCGTCAAACCACTCACCCTACTCTTTCACCTGGCCCTGCTCCCTCCCAGGACTCCTGGGTCCGGCTGCCTGCTCTCACAGGGCAGCTCCTGGGTTCTTCTCCCTGTGACTCTCTGTGGCCCAGAGACAGTGGTAGGAGCCCTTCTAAGCTCCAGAGTGGCACTCCCGAGCACTGCCACCCAGCCTGGCTGGGCTTCACCTATCCTTTGGACCTCTCTGGGGTCTCTGAGGTGGCAGAGACCCTGGGAGAAGCCGTGGCCACGCTCTGGAAAGAGGCTCCTGCTTACTTCTGCACTCTGAAGGCACGCGTCTGCTTGTCACGCACRCCTGCTGCTGGGTGGGCTGCCATCCCGCACCAGAGCTCCTGCAGGTGCACTCAGAACACTCTGCCTGGCAAAGCCTGGGCTGGGTGGGCAAGAAAACCCCAAAGAATCTGCATCAGGGTCCAGGCGGACACAAGTGCCCCCCCGAGAGAATGCCCCTGGCAGGCAGAGGAGTGTCCATCGCTAAACAGGCAGACATACAACAAGGGGACACAGGACCGTCCACTGAAAGAACAGAAGCCAGGAGGCAGGAATCAGGACACAGGAGGAAAACACCCAAAGCCGCAGAGTCAACACTTCCAGCAGGACGCCCCCACAAGGGGCCCCTCCTCCTCTCCCCTGGCCACCTTCTCACCACTCCAGCCCCCAGGTGCTTCACCATCCTCTGGAGTTTGTGAAAACCAAGAAGCACCTCCCCAACTTCCATCAGCCTGGCCAGGGCCCCATCCTCTAGAAGCCGCCACAGAGGCTGGCCTGAACTCTGGCCTCCACCACCTTTCCAGCAGCCCCCAAGGACGGGGCTCCTCACRCACTTCCTTTCTCCCAGGCCTCCCATGGCCTATCCCACCACTCACACGGCTGGCGCCCCACCACTGTCCCAGCCCTGGCACCCCAGCTCCCCTCCTGGTCACCTCCTTGGGCCTAGTGTTCACCCAGTGAACACTGACCTGCTGCCTATTTCTGCAAACACAGTTGGCAGACGCACTCACACCATGTCTGTCTTGATCCATGGCTGACTTCACGCTGCAGCAGCAGTGCTGGGCATCTGCAGAGGCCACAGGCCTGCAGGCCTGAAACACTGAAATACTGGAGTTGTGGTTGGGTTGTGCTTTCTTGCGGGGGAGGGGAGGAGGGTCTGTTGTGGTGCTGGGTGTCGGACCCCTTGCACTGGACCTYCAGTCCTTTACCTTTATTTCTAGATCGGGTCTCTATGTTGCCAGGATGGGCTGCAAGTGCTCCAGCCTCAGCTTCTGTGTTGCTGGGACCTCACATGGCCACGACACCCAGCTCCACCAGGCAGCTCTGTAGAGGCTTTTACTGGCCAGCCACACAACCCTCCCAACACCAAGGGCTCCAGCACCCAAGTCAGCGGCTCAGGGCTTACGATGCACAACTCAGGAACTTCTAAGCCAAGCACGGTGTACCCCAAACACCATGCAGACTTTCCAGCTTGGTCCTGACACTCCTCGCCAACCTGGCCAGAGCCAGGACCCTTGTTCCAAACCCATGCCTGACCGCACCTCCCTCTGCCAGTCACCCCTCACCCACATAGACTGTTAGTGACAAATGCCTGAGAAAAACAGAGGAGGAAAGGTTTATTTTGCTCATGTTTCAGAGTTCTCAGCCCATGATCAGCCAGCTCACTACTCTGGGCAGGTGAGGCAGAGCCTCACAGCAGAAGGCCATGGCAGGGCACACACCAGTGACCCACTCCCTGCAACCAGACCCACCACCTAGAGCTTCGATCCCCTCCCAATAATGGCATCAAACACAAATCCCCTGATGGACTGATCCAGCCCGAGGTCAGCACCCTCAGGTCCAGCCACATCCTGAAGGCCGCACCTCTATCACCAATGCACTGAGGACCGTCCTTCAACACATCTGGGACGTTCCAGAGCCAAACCACGACAGATCTGGGTCCCCCGGCCCCACTGCATCACCAACTCACTTCACTGAGTGTGCCCTGCCCAGCACACTCGACTCTCCACCACCCGCCTCTGCACCCACCGCCCACCTCCCCTCTGCCCYTGCCCCACCCCTGTGTCCTGCCCCTCCTGGTCATTCCCATGGACTCCTAACCTGCTGGAAGTCTCTCATCTTAAAACTCAAGAGGAAAAGAAGACTTCTCTTCCCTGCTCCCACCAGCTCCCACACCGCCCCCCTGGACAGCCACTCCACGTGACTCCAAGTGCATACCCTCCCAGCCCAGATGCCATGCCCACACTGGCTCCCGCAGCACATCTCTTCTGTCACGTCACCAGTGACACCACGGCTCTGGTCTCACCTGTAGCAGCCGCACCACACACCACCTCCCTCCACAGCACACTCCCTCAGCTCTCCTCCTCCCCTTGGCCTTGCCTGCTCCATCTCCTGCTCTCCGCTGACTGTGGTCATCCAGCTGTGGGACCCGGGGTCCCAGCTTGGCCCCTGCCCTGGACTCCAGWCTATCCTCAGCCCAGTGGGGCCTCTGGCCAAATCCACCGCAACATGTCCAAACCCAAGCTCTGGGTTCTCCCCAGCGACCTGCTCCCTGTGAACCCTCCTCTCAGTAAATGGGGATTTCCACTGTCCGGCTACACCATGCTCCTCCTCCTCGGTGGTCAGACCTTCAGCAAGCCTAGGAACCACATCCTCCAAGCACTATGGAACCTACCACGACTCCTGCCTCCACCAGCCAGTCCCTAGCCCCCAGACTCTTCTTCTGAAGCCCCAGATTCCCCCAGAGCCTGTCCCACTAGCTCCTCTCCACTCAGGGCCTCTCAGCGGCTTCCCACCAGCTCAGAGGAGAAGACAGGGCTTCATGGCCCTCCAGACTTGCTGGCCAGCCCAATCCCTCTCCAACTGCCCTGGTTCCAAGGAGCACAGAGGCTTTATGCTGCCTGTTCCCACTCCCAGGTGTCCTTCCAGACGTGCGCGAATGGAGGCCCCCCAGCCCCAGGTACAGCTCCATCCACACTTTTGGAGGCCCTGGGAACAGCCCCTCGCCCACCAGGACAGCAGCTACTGGCCCCGGGTGTCGGCAGGGTACAGGGCCCAGGCTGGAGCAGCTGGTGTGGGGTTTGCAACCTCCACCATGCAGCACCCCTGAGGCGGCACGCACCCTTGTGCAGAGGACCCTTCGGCTGCCTAGGGCTCCCGCAGGGGTACAACATGGCTGAGCCTCCAGGCACCTGCCTCTTCAGTGGGCAGGGTATGGCAGGGGAACCCTGAGTGCCCACCAAGGGCACTCCTGCATGGGAAAGTGGCCGATGACTTCAGTGTGCGCTGCCTCCCCTTAGGGCACAGCCCCTGTACCACCTGAGCCTCCAAGACCTTGGCACCATACTTCAGCATGATGTGGTCTGGAACTTCACTCGGGTTCTCAYAGTCTGGGAAGATCTGCCCCATCATAGCACAAGCTTGCAGGAGCAGGGCTAGCCTGAGAACCTGGGTTTCCTGGTTAAATGTGTCATTTTGTTTTCAACTGTTGTCCATTGCTTTTCTGCTACCTCTCTTCACTATTGCARCAATAATCTCATGTTGGCTTTTTAAATCATGTCAACAGGCCAGGTGTGGTGGCCATAACTGTAATCCCAGTGCCTTAGGAGGCTGAAGCAGGAGGATCGCAAATGTAAGGCCAGCCTGGGCAACTTAGCAAGACCCAGTCTCAAAATGAAAATCTAAAAAGGACTCAGGATATCTCAGTGGTAAAGTGTCCCTGGATTTAATCCCCAGTACCAAAATAAATAATAACAAACCAGTGTGAGCGTGCAAGCTGTGCATTATCTCTGAACCACTTCAAAAGAGAATATGAACCACTGTGATCAAGAGGGTCGGGACCTCATGCACGAGGGACAGGTGTGGGAGGAGTAAGCAGGCAGTGGCCAGGCCAGCAGCCCTGCCTCTTACTCTGCTGGGCTACCTGGACCCCAAGGGACATGTCCACGTCCCCAGGAACCTACATGAGTATCCTTCTATGGAAAGGCTCTTGAAAGAAGCACTAAGAACCGAGATGAGGTCAACCTCTGTCAGGTGGGCCCTGAACCCAGCACAAGGGTCTCACTCAGATGCAGGAAACACAGACGCAGAGGGGCCATGGGAAGCTGAAACAGGCTGCAGAGAGCTAGGAGCTGGAGAGGCAGGAAGGCCCCAGAGACTCGGCACCCCTTCTGACCAGGCTTCTGGCCTGTGGCACTGAGACCTCTGTGTGGTCTTGGGTCACAGCAGTCCCCAGAGGAGAAGACAGGTGCTTGTCAGACCAGCCAGGGCCCGTGCCAGCTCTCGCCCTGCAGATGTCACACACCCACAAGAGGACTTCAGTGGCACCACAGCTCGGCTCTTCTCCAGAGGCAGGAAAGGCACCGACAGTGACCCGCACTTCCTGGCTGCCTTGCCCCAGGGTCCTGACTCACCTCGGGCTGTCCTCAGCCAGTCCACATTAGACACCTCCAGTACTTCTGGGTCTGTGACAACTCTGCCGGGGACCATGCGCTCAAAAGCTGCCAGGTCCTCCTCAGACACCACAGAGAATGGCAGCCGCTGCACAGGGTAGCGCTCCTGGGTCAGCATCACCTCAGGGGGGCAGGAGGACACTTTGGAGAACATTCTGCAAGCCAGGGGGCCAGACGCTCCCCCCGGGCACCCTGGTCCCCTCTTCGGCCGCACCAAGGCTCTGAGAGTCCACGTGGTCCTCCACCACCCTGGAGAGGCCCAGAGGCGCACAGACCATCTTGGCACACGACACAGCACCATGGCTTCTGCCTGAAAAACAAGGGATGGGGGCTGAGGTGGCAGAGCACTTGCCTAGCATGAGCACTGGGTTTGATCTCAAGCACCATGTTAAAAAAAAAAAAAAAAACTATTTAAATAAACAAAAGTATTGTGTCCATCCACAACTAAAAATATAAAACATAAAATAAATCTTAAAAATTAAAACAAAGGACTGGACCTGCAATTTGGGAACACTGGAGCAGTGGAGAGTCCCTCCCAGCCACAGTGGCATGAGGAAGCCCTGCAGCCCCCAGCACATCCTCTCTGGAGAACTCAGGTGAGTCTGGGGGCGGAACCAGCCTGGAGGGGATGCAGGGAACATGGCACTGGGAGGATGCTGCCCTGGGCCCCAGCGTGGCCACCCTGCAAAATTCACTGGTGGGAATTCACTGCATGTACACCTGCAGCAGGCACCTTCTCTGGGTGTTATACTTTAACCTCCATTTTTTTGGAACCAGGGATGGAACTCCAGGCACTGGACACTGCGCCAYATCCCCAGCCCGATTCTGTATTTTAGAGACAGGGTCTCACTGAGTTGCTTAGCACCTCACCTTGGCGGAAACTGGCTWTGAACTCACCATCCTCCTGACTCAGCCTCTGGAGCCACGGGATTACAGGCGTGCACCATGGACCCTGGCCCCTTAACCTCCTCCCAGGCCCTTTCCCCTCAGAGCAAAGCCAGAATTTAGGTACAGGGGGAAAGGGTAGATGCCCCGGCACTGTGCACCACCAACAGCTAACAGGCGCTTTKCCGCGTTTTACCTGTTTCGCTACAAGTTTGAAAACGCTTCATGATTACCAAAAAAAGGGCAGTGGCGCCCACCCGCAATCCCAGCTGCCAGGACCCCCTCCCCAGGATGCCTGGGAACCCAAGAACACCCCAGGATCCCCCGACCGCGACCCCTCCCACTATCACACAGCCGCGCCGCACATTCCCACTAGAAAGCCCCTCTGCGCGTCCCGTCAGCTCGCACCTGCGTCCGCTCAGAGCCTAGCCACCGGAAGAGCGCACAGGCCCCGCCCCCGATCCCAGCGACCTCGGCTGGACTCTGCACATGCGCACTGGCTCCCGGTGGCCACGCCCAGGCCCCGCCTTGGGAAGGGAGGAGGCTAGCGCCACCTGCTGGCTGGGCWGCCAGGACTCGGCCTTCAGCCTGACCCTTCCCGTGGTCCCCACAGCCCAGACAGCAGGTAAATGCTCACTCACTGATCCTTCAGAGTGGGCCCTAGCGAGACTCAGGACCTCCACCTTATAGGAGCCCCTTCTCCCCTGGAGGTGTCCATACCCAAGGACTTTCTGGAGAGCAGGGCTTTCTTTGCCTGAGCAGGGCGACTCCATGGTGAGTGGATCAGCGATTGTCAGCTGTRCCTGCCCTGGTGTCTCCATGGTGTGTGCAACAGCAGTCCTCAGGCASAGACTGCCCTGGTGACCCCATGGTGTGAGCAACAGCAGACCTCAGGCTGTGCTTGCCCTAGTGACTCCATGGTGTGCAGAACAGCAGTCCTCAGGCTGTGCCTGCCCTGGTGACTCCATTGTGTGTGCAACAGCAGCTCTCAGGCTGTGCCTGCCCTAGTGACTCCATGGTGTGTGCAACAGCAGACCTCAGGCTGTGCCTGCCCTAGTGA